TTTTTTAAGTGAATTTTTTTTTAAGTGAATTTTTTTTTAAGTGAATTTTTTTTTAAGTGAATTTTTTTTTAAGTGAAATTACTTGTTTACAAACTAAAGATCAAGACTTATTTATAAATTACAACTAAATTTATTGAATATATATAATCAAGACTCCACGAAATTTATTTACTAGTAATTTTAAAACATCATGAACAATAAATCCATGATCGTAAATGTTTGAATAATAATTACAATTCTTTTTGACGCCAAATAAACAAAAATAAATTATTAATTTAAATCTAATTACTGAATTATGCAATAATATTTTGAGCAATCTTACATTAAAATAATTTAAATACAGTAAGAAGCATAAATAACGAAAAACAGATAAATAAATTACTTAATAAAGGTCGAATTAGAAAAAAAGCTTTTAGCTACATCAACTTTTTTGGCCAATTCTTTTTCTGCAGCCGTTTGATAACATTCAAAAGCCTTCTCTTCGTCAATTTTTGTTCCTATACCATATCTATAACAATTGCCGAGACTTTTATAAGCCTTAATATAGCCACCTTTAGCCGCTTTCTGATACAGTTCAAAAGCCATTTCCCTATTTATATTAGTTCCTTCACCATTTTGATAGTTGATTGCAAGATTGTATTGTCCAACTGGCAGACCTCCTTCTGCGGATTTTTGATAATATTTAAATGCCATATCATGATTAATTTCAGTTCCTATGCCAAGTATATAATGAAAGCCAAGATTACTATATGCACCGATGTATCCTCCTTGAGCCGATTTTTGGGTAAATTCAAAAGCCATTTTGTCATCTTTTATAACCCATTTTCCGTAATAATAACAATCAGAAAGAATACATTGAACTATGGAATTAATTTGATTCTTTAAACACCAATTTATTATTGTTTCAGGTTTTTGTTGGTTTGCCATAAAAAATTTATCCATTAAATCATAAACCGTTACGGTAAGAGTTCCTTTCATCCTTTCTCCATCATATAAATTACATAATGCTTCAACTATGTTAAAAAAATTTTTTGATCGACTATTACTAACAAAGGAAAATTGGTCAAATAAAATAGTTAGTCATAATATCAAAATTTTTATTTATAAATTTTGAGCTTACCTTTTTTCCGAAAATCTATCATCATGCATTCTTTCATTAGAATAGAAATAAAATTTGCGATAATTTTTTAGTGAAAGATATTTTATATCAAAAGATAACTTTGACCAAGATATTAAACTAAATTACGCCTACGTACATGGTATGTAGATTTGTTAAAAATTTTAAGGTAATACGTATCATTGAAGGTATGTCTAAATATTTATACTAGTAAAATTCATAGATCGCACAAATATTACGTTAGCGTAACTCGAGAATATATGTGATGTAACAACAATTACCCCATCATTATGTAAATCAAAATGCCTCGATCCCGTTCCCGGCCACTGCTAGTTATCGTTATTGTTTGTGAGTCGGTTCCCTAATTAGTCAATCACTAATTAGCCAATCAATTGAATAATAACAACGATCGGAATTACTGAATTATACTTTAAAGTTAAGATACAGCTCAACGATGTATTCCGCTCGTCTTTATTAAGGTTTGAAGCCAAAAAGCAGAAGTTGGTCTAATTGGCTAATGCAATTTTGCATCGTCTTTCATTAAGGTCATTAAGGTTTGAAGCCAAAAACAGAAGTTGATCTAATTGGCTAATGCAATTTCGCATGTTAAAAATTTTTTTTTAGAATTTAACGTTTCACTAAAACTATCTATAGCTTTAAAGGAGTATTAATTAAGATATACACTTGTTTTATTTAATTAATTAATCATTGTAATTAAAATAAAAATGTCCTTATTTTAATTTGACATTTATGCGTTTTGATACGTAGGGCGTATTTTTATACATTTTTTAGGCATTGATCGATCGAAATTTAATGTTAGAATTAAAAGTTGAGCCGTAGATTATATTTTTGCATAACAAAGTATTGATATATATGTTGTAGGTTGATTCAGAATTCGGTGGATTCAGATCCACTTAAATGAAGTTCAAAATTAAAAATATTAATTATAAGTCATACGTATTTAAAATAATCTCATCTGTATTTTGAAAAATTTTTAATGAACTTGTTGATAATTTTTTTAAAAATAAACTTGTTGGACGTAAAACTTTTATTTCACATCCAATTATGTTACTAATGCAATTTCGGGAACTTATAAAGATCGATATTAGCAACAAGAGTTTGGAACTGCTTAAATAGTTTATTTAATGACTACTTATGTATTGCAATGACGAAAATAGATCATAATGCAATTGACCGATTTACTTCAACATGCAAAGTAATCAAGAAATTTTATCGTTTATAATACAAAATGAATACTTAGGTTTTGCCTAACAACATTATTCTTGAAACGTTAAAATTTTTATAATTATCATATGTTTTTACATTTAACTAAGTCACGCATATATGTTAACTGGTTCTTTGGTTTCATTATTTTGTATCATTATTAGAATGCATTAGTATTATTATTAATATATACCATACAACACTACTCAATAATATTAGTAAGTACGTACGTATCTTTATTTGAGTATACAGAAATGTGTAATACGAGAAACAGAGTGCGTGGTTATATGTACAAATCTGTCTTTGATTTCTCACATCAAATTCTTACAATATAGATTTGTGCACTAACGATTTTAATTGGTCATATAAAACTATTAAAAATACCGAATCCATCCAAAGATAACCATGATCAGGTTATAGGCATTGGCTATTTGAATATTTAATAATTTATTAAAACATGGTTTTCGTGAAGTATTGCATAGGGCCATTTTATACCGTAGCGATAGATGATGATTAATTATTCAGTAACTACGAAAAATCAGTTATGATTTTGATAACTTTGATAGCTTGGTTATACATTTCTCTAAATGATTGTCATAATTCCGACCTTAGTCATATATGAGCCTTTTTTTCCTTGTTAAAATTTTGTCATGTTCTCTTTTTTTCTTTAATAAATTGATAAGCATTAGATTAACTATTGTATTTAGAAAGTATAAAAATTATCGATTACAAAAATTTTAACAATCCTGATCTAAAACTGTCCTGACGTTATCACCATAAAAAATTTTGGTCAATCAAATTTCAGGATCAGGTATAGTACAAAGAATCAAAAACGGACCAAGAAATTGCTTACAACTAAATATTCACCTACGTGACTACCGTTTTCTTCAAAATCTTCTGTATTATTAAAGTTCTTTATAACCTAATCAAATGCAAAATTAACTATAATTTAATGATGAAAATTTTTTAGGTTGGTGACGCTAGGATCCTCCTGTGTTTAAATAAAAATTGAGTTATTAACATTGACATTGGTTTTAAACCTAAAATTATTTTATTTATTAACTTTGTCCTAATTGTCTATGCTTACATATACAGTACAGTATAGGCTATTACAGATCGTGCTAGGGGTATATACAGTTCATTAGAGTGTTACCTCAAATAATAAAATTAAACTCGTGATATTCGTGAATTTCAGAATTTTTTATGGTGTTAAATTATATTTTTTTTGACCTAACTAATAGATAAATTATCATATATCATAATATATCTAGTCGGTTTGTGTTGCCTTGTCTTGTGTGGCCTTGTCTTCATCGAGTTCTGATTTCATTTGAATTGCTTCCAAAAGAACGGGAGAGATATATGGTTTATAAAAACCTGGCCAAGTGTTATTTTGAATTTGTCTTACTACTTTACGAAGTTCATCCAGATGTGCTTCAAAAAAACTTATATTTAAAGAGAAATTGTTAAAAAATTTAAAGATAATTAGTTTTTATTCATAAAATTTGACTTACATAATTTCCGGAAACCAATCTTTTCTTTGACTTTGATATTGTAACAAATAACTTCGTTCAATTTTAGACAAGGTCTTCAAATATATTATAAATAAATATTAAAATTACATTTATTAAATGTAAATTTAAAAAAAAAACTTAACTCAGCTTTATATTTTAAAAAGGAATTTTTATTATTTAAATCACCAATTTTATTGCTAAGTACTCCAATAAATAGATTCATCATATAAATAGTTATAAAAAAAAAAATCACAATTAATAAAATTATTAATAAAACTTCGATTCCTGACATATCGTGGTCCTCTTCATATGTTGCATATGATGAAATTATATCAGAGTCACCTATTTTAATGAAGTTACGCTAATTAATATAGATTTATTTAATAAGATGATAATATTACTATCAATTAATTATTAAGCCAGCATTTTAAAAATAAATTACCAGTCAATGTGAAATATGGAATAATAATATAATCTGATAACCTCCAAGTATTTGAATCACTTGAATTAGTATTTAATTTTGATAAAATATGTAGAGTACTTATGAATATAAATGTAAAAAGCCCAAGAACAACCAAAAAAGGCAATATATTATTGAATACACCAAATATAATTGCAAATTCAATTCCAAAAAATTCAAAAACATGAAGACTAAACATAAGTTTTAATTCATATAATAAAATCGCGATAGTAGTAAGTGCACCAAGGTCAAAATAAGTATTATCAATTTCATAATACCAGCCTGAGTATGAATTTGCATTTTTTTGCATTATATCAACTATTGAGAAATAAACAAAGATCATTGACATAGTGTCAACTAAAAAAAAATTAAAATAATGTTACTAAATTTTTAACAATAAAGTCATCTATTTGAATTCTTAAACATACCAAGAAAGTTTCGAATATCTAGTTTTCTGTTAATCTTAGCTAGACTATAAAAATAAAAGGATTCCAAGATATAATATAAGGATATAATTATAAAAACAATGTATAGTAGTGTACGTAGCAGAATAAATGATGGAATATGATCATAAAAAATCACAGTAAGCACCAAACAAAGAAAGCAAATAGTATGAATAAATAAATGTACAATATAGATAGCCCTTCCAAATGTATTCCATTTATAAATAAGAAGTGCTTCACCTATCCATAATTCATATAGCTTAGTCTTTGGTGAAAAGCCAAACGGATTAATATCAAGTGGAAAAAATAGAGATATAAACTTTAAATTTAACTTTAAAACCAAGTTAAATAATGGACTTGGTATAATATTACTAAATAATTTATGAAAGCTATCATGAAATTCCCGCAATTCAGTGGATTCGTTAGGTAATTGTTAAGTCCTATTAAAGGAAAAACCAATTTAACAGTTGTATGTTTTTGTTTATTTTGGAAAAAGTTTGGAGATATAAATTTTATAAATTTTAAAAAGTTTTCTATTTTAAAATAAATTAAGGAAATATCAAAAATATTAGGAATATTAAAAATACGAGGGTATTCACCAAATTTTTGAAGATGACTAGAAGTAGAATTTGGATTAACTACTTCATATAATGTATCGTCAGGTACAAAAAAAGCTATTCTAGATAAAAACCAATTAATAATCTCAGGATATTGACTTAATGTATGAAAATTATCCGTAACTATTCGCATTAAAGGAAGATTTGAAATAAAATTTTTATCATCATTCTTAATGGTCAATTTAATTATATTTTTCAATAGCTTTTCAATAGATTCGAATTTATTTTTTTTCAATAAATGTTCCATTAAATCTTTTCCATAAAGACTTAATTTAAACCGTGAATTAACATAATCTTCAATCATCAACTCATTAAAATCATAATTTTTTTTACAATTTTTTGTTTTTAACTCAAATTCGAATCCTGGAGAGGGTAAATATGGGGAATATTCTTTATATTCTTTTTGAAAATATGATGCTGAAAATTTCCAAAAATAATTTAATCGTATTATTTTTGACTTTTCCTCAAAAGTCCAGATATATATATTTCTATGTTCATGTTTGTCCTTCACTTTCATTAATAAATCTTTATTCTTTAAAAGTTTAATTCCTAAAATTTCAGCATATGGTATATCGATCTTAACATTGTTATAAGATCATAACATTTTATCTTGTTCTTTTTTGATACTCCAATCATCGTAATGTAAAATAGATTCAATATATTCGGTAAATTCATCTTCTTTCTTAATTTCTTCTAATACTTCTTCTGCAACCAAGGTAGAGTTCATATTATTAAGCTTAACCCTCCAAGATTCATGAAAGTTTTGGACTTTCAATTGATTTTCGTCAATACAAAAAACTATTCTATAATTAATTATATATGGTTGTTTTAATTCTATTTCCTCAGCTTTTTCATGGCATCCCTTAGTGAAAATATAAGGACCTAATAAATAGGAATGATTCTGCTCGCACATGACAATCAAACATTCATCAAGTTCACAATTATCAAGTAAAAGAAAATAACACTTTGTTATATTATAATCAAATTTACCTAACAAACATTAGTAACAATAAAATTAGAAAAAAAATCTTTGCTTCTTGTTATAGAATAATAAAAAAAACTTACAGAATGATATCATCAACTGAAGCTTAGTCGAATATATGTATATATTTTTATCAAACCAAATAGCCAATAAAGTTGCTTCATTATTTATAACTAAGTTATATGTGCGATTAATTTCCCATTCCGTAGTCAAATGAATAAAAAATTCCAATGTTATAGTGTTCCATGCCATTATAATATGTGTATCATGTTTGTATATAAAAATATATCCATTCTTATGGAGCACAATATGGTCTTTAGAATAATTATAATTTGAAATTCGGAATATTTTTTTAAGTTTTCCACATAATTCGAATATATAGCCTGTGATACTGTTAATACTATCATCGTTCATAGAATTTTTTTTCCCCCTAACAAGTAAATAATAACCTCTTTCTTCGTTAACTATAAAGTTACTTTCAATTATTTCATTTTTATTATCCCTGGGTTTTAAAATTTTTATTTCATAGGGTTTTACTTTGTGGTGTATAAAAAGTGCTATTACATAAACATATTGAAGTATTAGAATTTAGAATATATTATCATATATTTTGAAAATACCGTTATTTTAGGGCATAGTGAATGCAACCTATAGAACTATTAAGAGAAACAAAAACTTTGGGATTATAAATTTATAAGTTAAGGTTTCAATCTCTAAAAAATTTATGAAGGAATCCGGTAAGTTATAAATTTTAATGCTAAAATCTTGCTTTCCCTTAGCATAGAAATGTAATCCGAACCATTTTTTTTTATATACCAAACCTGATTTAACCCAACATCACTACCTTAGAATCGGACTATTTAGGTTGCTTACACTATAGTGATCACTAATGGTTCTAACCTGCATGTCTGAGATCTCTATCATCAGAATTATCAGGATTATCAGGATTATAAGGCATCAACGCAATATGTTTTGAATCTAATAGGTTTAGTTCATACTCTTTAACTTTTAAAAAATAAGATCTTATCTTTCTGAAAGGACCATCTTTGGAAAGACCATGTTCGATCTGTTTTATTAGTGGATAGTATCCTTTAAATATCAGATTCATTCGATCTTCAATAGAATATATACAAGCTGACTTGTCTTCATCGCTCCAAGTTGCAACATAATCTAATTTTGGAGAACACACAATCTTTGTAATTTTTTCATTGTGTCGCGTGGTCAGTTCATTTGGAATCTCTATAATTACTTTATCATCCATTTCTTGTTATTTTCATAAAATTTTACGAATGAAAATTATTTAAAAAAATTACTGCTTGGTAATTTATTAAATAGCTGTTTCGAAATAAACGAGCTAAGCCAAGACTTCAGGCTTTCTGTTTACCTACTTGACCTATTAAAAACTGAATAACATGTTAAATTTAATTACACACATGTGCGTATAGAGATAAGCCCCATACTATCTGGATTTGTTTTTTTTTTGGTTTACATTAAATTTTCAATCAGATTATCAATAAATAAATATGCACTGGCGTACTGATGTTAGGCAAACCTATTTTTTACAAATGACGAAAGACAAAACTAAACCCTGAAAAAGACGAAACCGGCGAAACCTTGCCGAAACGATGAAACCCTTTGTAATGATAAAACCCCTGGAGAAAGTCAAAACTCAGCAAAGATCAAATCCTCTAAGACTTGGAAGCGACTGAGCCATGTTAGTGAATCAAATATTTTGTGTGTGGCTATTAAAAAAAATGTACAAAAGCAATAAACAAAGTGATAAATTTTTGCTGAATTCGAGTACTATTAAAAGATAACTAGACCTTAGGTTTTTGAACTTAGAATTAAATCAACCTTGTTTTGAAAATTCAAAACCTGAAATCTTTTTTTTTTTTTTTAGAAACTCTGATCTATGTTTTAATATTATTCTTGTAAAATAAATCTAGGGTTTTTTTTATCTAAAGTTTTAAATAAATTTTATTGTTAACCTGTCAAGATTTTTTTCTTTAACATTTCATTGTTAAAACTTAAAGTACCATATATATGTATGTCATTGACTTATAATAGATTAAATGCAGTAAAATTTAGATCGTTGATAATAAAGCTTTGTATATAACAAAAATCTTCAGCATAATTATGCATATGTAGTATGCCAAATTAAAAACTTGTGTAAATTAAAAACTCGTAAATTAAAAAACTTGTAAATTAAAAACTTGTAAATTAAAAAACTTGTAAATTAAAAAACTTGTAAATTAAAAACTTAAGTTAGGACAAAATTTAAATATTAAGATTGGGTAAAGGCCCGATACCGATCATTTTGCTAACAATCAATTCATCGATAAGTTTATTTTACCGACAATACGTTTCACCAAAAAGTTTATTTCGACGACAAGCTCATTTCACCGACAAGTTTAATTTATCAATAGAACGAATTAATGACAGTATGTTTTACCGATGGTTCAACCCTTCTAAGAAACTATTATTTATAATTAGGATTAGGGTGAGTGCTAGTATTGTCCTTTTTTATGTTGGGGTTAGTAGTAAAAGTACCTTGAATTTGACGAATTTTTTTTTTTTACAAACTGTACGTACTATTTTATTATATAAGAATTATTATTTGTCAGTGAAACGTACTGTCGGCGAATCATACTAATCTTGTCAGTTAAATATACTATTGGTGAACCATACTGTTGGTAAAATAAACTTGTTGGTGTATCATACTGTAAGTGAATTGATTGTTAGTGAAACATACATAACTATCACAAATCTACAAATTAAAATTAGAACATATTCACTTGTTTATTAGAATCAAAACTATCCCTATAGTTTTATAGTGTCTAAAGTTAATACTTATATATATGCTGCAATAAAAAATTAAATTTGTAATATATAACAAAGTTCAATTTTGAGAAGATACCATTATACAGAATCATATTCTTATATTTTTTTCTTTCAGTAACATTTATTAAAGAGAAAATTTATTTGGTAGCTGATTTGTATACATTATTACCTAAATTATTATGCAAAAAGGCCTGTTATATCTTCTTCAACAACAAAAACAGAAATTAAATATTCCATTAGCCTGCAAAATACCTATAATCACCTTATTGCAAATAATGTTTTTATCTTCATTGAGCTTTTGAGTTATCATTACATATAAAATCTAGTATTTTTGATTTTAGTAGATAAAGCAGTTCTGCAAACAATTGTAAAAATATTTCTTCTACTAAGCTATTATATTCCAAAGGTTTATTTAGTAATGGATAATAATTTAATAAATTAAAATTAAAATATGTTTTATTTATTGATCTTCTAAAAGCAAGAACTGGAAATATAAAGAGAATTTAGTACCAATGAATTGGAAAAACTAGACAAGAAATTAAAGCAAAGAATAAGCAAATATTGCTAGTTATACTATATAGATTTTGGTCAAAAAATAATAAAAAATAGAAGAAAATAACAGTTTATATGTTAGTAGATAATAAGGTTAAGCAATTAACCTTATATTTAAATATAATAACAAAGAAAATAATTGATGATTAATAGACAAGAATTATAAATCCAAGCTATATTATATAAAAGGGTTTCTTATCTTAGTAGTTAGATTTTGCATTATCTTATTAAAGGTATAGTATCTAATTATAGATACTACAATAGTGAAATTTAATGAATAGAACTTTTTTTATAAGTTATATAATCATAACAGAAATTTATAATTAATTAATAATAATTTAGTTTTTTATCAAGTTTGACTAGATAAACTATGAACTAACCTCTTATTATTTAATTTGTAGTAATAATTCAATCTAATTTAGCTTCTTATAAAAATCTAAAATAATTAAAGTGGTTTAATATTTTTATGCTATTATTAAATATATAACTTTTATTAATATATCTGTAATTACTAATTTGAATAAAAAATTAGAAATTTAAAGACTCAAATTTTGTAATTATATATTATATAATATTTAATATTAGCAAAAAATATCATTATTAAAGTTCTAATAATTATAATTTTTATATTTTATTAATACAAAATTTAATCAATTAGAATTATAATTATTTTATATAAATTTAAAAATTTTGCTATGCTTGATTTATAAATTTATAATAGTATTTAAAATTTATAAAATTAATTAATAATTCATATACTACTATTACAAATTTCTAAACTGGAATATAGAAAGAATAATTTTTTATATATATAAATTTTTTATAATAACTAAAACATAATTATGTGGGTAGTTTCAAAACTCTGAAGAACTTTGATAGAACTTAAATATTATTAAAAAAGAAAATTTTTGAATAAAAATTTATTAAATATTATATTTTTATATAGTAAATTTTTAAAATTTGACCTATTTTATACATTTATTTAGCTAATATTATATAAATTCAGATTTAAGTTGTATCAAAGGTTTTTGAGGTTCTGTAGTTTCACTGTTTATAATATGCTAAAGACAATAGATTTTTCTTATTTTATTTTAAATAACTTTTTTAAGTATTTTATTTTTAGAAGCTATCTTAAATTTAATATATTAATTTGAAACTCTCTGGAACCAAAGCTAGTATATTAAATTTAAGTATTTCTTTATTATTAAATATTTTATCTAGAATTTAATATACCAATTTAGGCATCTCTGGAATAAAATATTATATTAGCTTTAAAGTATTTTCATTCTATTATTAGATATTCTATTTTGAAATTAATATACTAATTTGATTATTGATTCTCACTTTTCTGAAACCCACTTTCCCAAAAAACTATTTACCTAACATCACATATGGTTAAGATTAGCATTTTGTTAGTTGTAAATATATATTTTAGCAAATTGTCATCTACATAATATCAGATAGGTGACATGTCAGGGAAATAGCTTTCAGAAAATCATACTGTAACCTAATTTGATTTGTTTAAAGCAAAACTAGTATATTAAATTTAATGCAATTTTTTTGTTATTAAATACTATATCTTGAATTTGATATTTCAATTTAGGTTTCTTTAAAGCCAAAGTTAATATATTAGATTTAAAACATTTTTTCTGTTATTAAATATTTCTTTAATGTGACTTGCAAATTTGCAACTTAATGCTACTTGTAATTAGCTATAAAATAACTATAAAGCAACTATATAGTTACTTTATAGTAATTATACTTTATGTTTACTATAAATTAGCAATACATCTACTACTACTCAAATATATTTAAATAAGAGAATAGAATAAAAAATAAAAGATATTTATAAATAAAAATAAAAATAAATATATATTTAGATAAGAAAATAAGAAATAAATTAAATAATAATAATAATAATAATAGAAAAAAATAAAAATAAAAAATAAAAAATAAAAAATAATAAAATATAAAAAAGATAAATAATAGAAATAAAAAAAATATTAGTAATTAAATTTTTTATAAGCATTATTTTATTATTAAGAGTTATCAAATATTACTGCTTTATTTTAATATAATTAGACTTAATAAAAATTTAGTAAAAAAATAATAACAATTCAAGTTTTGTAGCAGATATTAATATTTAAAAATATATAGATATTAAACAATAAAAAATAATAACTCAAAAGAAATATAATTTTATTAGATTCAAAAAAGCCTAAACTTAATTTAAATAATATAACCAATACTATTTAACTTTAAAAATTCAAATATTATATATCAAATGATAAAAACAAAACTAAAATTTAAAAAAAAAATTTAAAAAAACTTTTTAAAATAAAAGTTTATTTAATAATAGTCAATTAAAAAAACAAAAAACTATAAAATTTTTATTTAAAAAGAACAAAAAGAATATTGTTTATAATGTTTTGAGACTATATAAAATATTTAAAAACTATTTAGAATATTATTAAATATCTAACTATTATATAATATATATAAAATTACTAAATATATCACATGTTATAACTAATTAGTAAATCTTAGAAGCTTTTTAATAATTACTATCTACCTAAAATTTTTTAAACTAATCAATCTTGACTCTTAAGTAAAAATATTTTACAACCAAAATATCTCTAGTTTTATAAAATAAAAACCCTAATTTTTCTATAAAATTTTGAGATTTTGCTCTCTGAATATAAATATCTATACTTATTCCTTAATTGTTATAATATATAATCAATATGAATAAAAATAAAATAATAATAATAATAATAATAATAATAATAATATAATAAAATAATAAAAAAATAAAAAATATAAAGAGTTAAAAAAATTTTAAAATTCAACAAAATTTTGTCGTATTACAATATTATCTCACGATGGACGATCATTCGCAGAGTAAAAAGTTATTTCTAGATTTTTCTTTTTTTCAAATCAATAATCAATAAATTAGTGTTAGCATTAGACCTGATGTTTACAAATTTAACATGGAATCCATGTATAAATAATTATTTAAAGTTACATACAATTAGGTTTATGATAAATATGTAAACCGGACCAATCTAGGGATGTCATTTCTAGTTTCATATTGATAACAATCTCTGACATAGAGATAAATCATTTTATTAGTATTCTCGTTTTTGATAAATAAAATTTTGTATTATTTCGCGAAGAAATGCAGGTTTTGCAAGTCTAACACTAAGAAACACTAATTTCCAGCATTTAAAATGGATGACGGATTAGTACAAGTCACTCTTGTACTTGGTAAGTTACCGATATGTTTAAACTCAACATAGTTTTATGATGCCTTATGATTTAACTGATTCGAAAATTATTAATTAAAGAACTTGAAATCATGGTTATAGTACCTGAACAAGTAAAATGCCTTTTCAAAAAAGTCTTAGAAATTAAAGATTTGGGTTTCATGAAAATTCAGTCTATTAATTTAGATCAATAAAAAAATCTGATGGTCAGACCGAAATTCTATATTTTATACTATCCTATGACCCACATCTCATGAGACTACCAAACTTTAAAAATTTATATGAACGTGTGAATCCAATGTATGCTTAATAGACTGGACAGTAAATAATGATTTGGTTTTTTAAAAAAGTTATAAAGTTTTTCTTAGAGAACGTATTAACAAAACATTTGTAAATCACCCTTCTGACCTTGTCCATTATTTTAAAAATATTACTTTTATTTATCTAACTCCCCGATATATCTTTGAACCTTGTTGAGCATTCAAAAAGACCACTCAAGTAACTTTATCATGGATCCAACTCGCATTATCGACGAATTACTGTATTATTTTATTCATTACTCTAAAAATTTCTGCATAAACAATAAAAAAAAATACCAGAAAGTCCAAAAAAACAATTACGGATGCTTACCATTTGTTGCCAGCAACAAATTTTGCTATTTCGCCAATAATTCATTTTGTAAACCAATAAATATCAACAAAGACTAAAACCTAGCAGCGACGACATTCGATAAACAAAAAAAACATATTAACGAATCGCTCAAGTATCAATTACTTGACTGATTATAATAAATGAACGTCATCACGTTTACTAGCTAATCGCATCGAGAATGACGTTTGAGAAAACTTTGATTACATCACAATTTGAATATTCAAGTCATCAAAAATTTTATATAAATATAATTGTGTACTATTGTGATCACTAAAGCTAATCACATCGGGATGAGGTTTGAAAACACCTTTAGTCTCGTATTTCACATATGCAATGGATTGCATCCAGAATTCACACCTGGAACTTATAAATCATATTATTGATTGGTTGTAAACTTAAATTTTTATGGTTTATTTTTTCTTTGCTGCACTTGTATAGTTAGTTATACTAAGTTGGTCGACAATTGCATATTATAAATTAATAATCGTACTTTATTCATATAAGGTCATTAACATAAATCTTCAGAAACATTCTTAAAACGTCTTTTGATTTTCCGCAATAAAAAATGGTCAACGTTAAGTATTCATGAAATGATGAGTGTCGCTAAAAGAAAACCCGAAAATTTAAATATGATTTATATTTAAATTTTCGGGTCTTCTTTTAACGACACTCATATAATTCATATTATATACGTAATAATAATTAAATAGTGCTACTAATTATTTGCATAGATAGTTTTGATTAGTATAATTTATAATAAAATAGAATCAAGAAGTGTGTTATTAGATTTTAATTGTTAAATTAGTAGTTGATTTCGTATGGATTGGTTCTCATTATTAAAAAAATTGTATATTAATCCAAATTTTCCGAGTCAAAAACCAAAACATAAAATTATTTGAAAAAATATGGTAATTTGCTAACAAAAATTAGAAAATATTATTTTAAATAAATTACCATTGCTAATGAAATTGCTAATAATTTTGTTGGTAATAATTATATTGATAATAGTTACTACTGGGTACAGGTATTCCATGTGTAGGCATGCCAGAAGTAGGTATTATATACGTAGGTGTGTTGTATGTATTTCTTGGTATATATGCTTCAGGCATAAGTTCATAAACTTCAGACATATTTGATTCACGCACGATATCATTCATATTATTATTTATAGGTGTTTGTGATGTTCTAGTAAGTTTTTTACGCCGATTTTTATAAATTAAAAATCCAGTAGTAATCAATACTCCAGCTAAAATAATTCCACCCACACCAATACCAATTCCAATGTATAATTGCGTATTATCCGATGCTGAACCAATAGATGTTGGAGGTATAATTAATGTAGTAACCCAGGTGTAATTTTGTGTGTCAAGAAGATAAATATTACTAGTGAATGTATATGATGATGAAGTTTGGCCTAAAAAAATATAAAATTAAATAGTTTTAATTACTTTATATAAAATAAAAATTATAATAATAATAATAATAGTTACCAAATGCGAGAATCATATAGTTCTTATATAATGTAGCAGAATGAAACGCAAGTGTTGGAGGAGAATTTGTTCCAGAAACACTTGGAATAGACCATGCCCAAGTATTTGTATTTAATACTGCAAGATCAGAAAATATACTAGTGATGATGCCAGTATCATCCGTTATTAAGCCTCCATATAAAATAATATCACCATTTTGTTCTAATAAAAATAATAGTAAATTATTAAAATATGATACTCTCTACTTGAATACTATTATACATAGTAATACATAGCATACTTAAAACAGTCGAATGTCCTACACGATATCCGATAGTGGAGCCACTAGCAGTCTAAATAAGATCGTATATTCACAAAATTAAGTTTAATTATTACTACAGTGACTGCAATAATGTTAATTAATTATATACGTTACTTTAGTAGACCAGGTGTAAGATTTTGTATCAAATAATAGAATCTGTTTTTAATATCAAGGTAAATTCTTAAAAATAAAATCTTTGAAGATTAAAATGGATATATATATATATACATATATATTAATTCACACATACTTGATTCAAATTATTGATAAAAGATACTTTTGAACTTGTTCCCTGACGTCCGCCAATATAAACAATAAGACCATTTGGCAACAATATGGCAGCATAATCACAATAATTAAGCAAACTCTGAGATTGAGGTAATGTCAACCAAGTCATAGTAGAAATATCAAGTAAATTCATATCATTATAATAAATGGATGTCAAAGTATTATAATTGGTTCCGCCAAAAATGAAAATTTTTCCATTATTATTAACAATAGCTTGCATTTCATTACGTGTCATAAAACTATAATTAAATCCTGTAATACTCGGCGTTGTCCATTTAGAAGTCTTTGAATCAAATACGTACACTGACATAGAAGGTTGATAAGTGACTGTATTCGAAATAAAAGTCCTTCCACCAATTAAAAAAACGGTGGAATTATCAATAGGACTAACACATGCACTACCAAAATTATATCCCACTTGCATTCCAACATCTCTATGCCATGGAGGCGTAGAAATATTAAATGAATTCAATAAATCAAGATACCACACTTCATTAGATACACTATTAAGTCCAGTTGCCCCGCCAAAGAAATAAAGTTTAGTACCAACTAATGCACTGGCTTGTTCACCCCGCGGGTCAGGGACATACTGACAATTAACAAAAAAATATCCCGTGCTAAATAAAACAAAAAAAAGAATATTATAAAAATAATTCATGCTAAAATAATTATAAAGAGGGAAAATAAACACTTATATAAGATTCAGAAACGTAGCATGCATTATTTCTCCTTTAGCTTCGAGTCGGAATAAATGCATTTTATTCCGTACTCAAGTAATCAAAAATTAGCTAATCCCCTTTAAATTGCAAATTGTTAACTTGTATATCATAAACATAATACACAAAAATATAGTTTTTCTGAATACGTCATCAATATATTAAATTACCGGTTTTCTGTTTAGACATTACACTAACTGGTGGTGTAACTGTTGTGTCGAGCGAGCAATAACAAACCTAATTTATAATGTTTGTCATAATCAACTTATTACGTATTTTGTTAATAACTTTATTTCTATTTAATTGATCGTAGCATTATTATTTTACTTAATCTAGTGCATAGAAATATTTAATCGAACCCAAGCAAACTATGACTGATCTGATATCAACCAATATCTGCACTAAAAGTAGCTTATATATAAAAAAAAAAAGAAAATATACTTTCATCAATGCTAAAATATTCGTTTTCTTTATAAATATGTTAATTTGTTTATACTAGAAAAAATCTATATAAAAGGCCGAATTTTTAATAATTTTAACGCAGGTAAAAAAATGCCTGCATAGTAACTCTAGATATTTGGGGTGAGTCAATAGGTACCAATCAAATTTTTTTAATTTTTTAAAAAAATTTAAACAAAAATGATCTCACAAAAACTGATCAAATTTGATAAAATTTTTTAACTTCTAAAATTTGTAAAATTTTTAAGTTTTTTTTGATTAAATTTAATTAAACTTTTGCTAAGTTACATTATTTTGTTTCAAAGTTTTAATAGAAATTATTATAACAAATTTGCTGATTTCTATTGACTCATATCTGCCACAAGTTTAATTAATTATGACTAGACTATTATAAATAAGCTTTAAACTTTTTCACAATAGTTTTATTTTTGATTTATTAATTATATTCATAGCAAAAACATCGTTTTTGGCCACTTGACCATTTTTATTGACCCACCCTAAAAAACATTGCGGCGAATTTATGAAATCAGAGCATTTTGACTCACTACGAAGTGCTGTAAAATCATATAGATAACGTCTAACCCATCCTCCCGTGTAGATTACTCGTGAAGATGGGTTAGACGTTTTCTATATGATTTTACAATAAGAAATGTCAAACAACAAACAGTAAATGACGCACTTCGTAGTGAGTCAAAATGCTCTGATTTCATAAATTCGTCGTGATGAAGATTTGCATCGTTCTTAACCCACGTAATGCTACACGACAGTAATTGTGTCACGTGCATATCTCGAGTTCGATAAAGAAACAAATTATACAGTATATATTATTTAACATTGTCATATTATAATACATATATCACGTTCAACTACACAAGCCCTTGTTTTATTGACAACTTAATTCGTTCTCGGCTAAAAACACGAGCCATTTTTAAATGTTTATTTAATATTTATTTTCTTGATGTATTGCTTCCAAATTCGACATAATTAGCTAATAACTTATAGTAGAAACAGCATTTTGAAAAACACTTCTATAATTCGGCTTTGAACTTTGTAACGGATGTTTTGTGATAGAAGAAGCGAATATCAACGGCTTGCCCTAATGGAAACTGAACAACACCGTTATTGCCGATACGAAAAGAAGGGGAAGCCATCTTGTGAAGAATTAATACAGTTTTTGAATTGAACTTCTATATTTTATTTCACAAGTTCAGATGATAGCCGTTCTTATTAGAGTATAACTTAGACGTTTATTGCTGTAGTACAGTATGTATTTAATCGTGATTTAACAACTGTATGGGCCTCTCTATAGCTATGTTTTACGGTGTATATTTCGTAATCTTCTTAAGAGTAAAAGATTAATCATTACATCATTTTCGTTTCACTTTCATATTTAATTTATACAAACTTTAATATACTTTTAATTTATTACAAAATATGCGAACATCATTGAACATTACATAAAACGATATTATATATATATATTTTTTTTTAGATCGGGTTAAATGGGTAAAAAAGAATGTTTTTGCGCTTCTACTACAAAAAAAAAAAAAAAAAAAAAAAGTTATATAAGTTTTAAACAATAAATATAACGCTTTGTCTCGATTTAGATACCTCAAAAGCAATAAATTTTCAAAATATTGTATAATACAACTATAATCGAATAGAGATATCTAGATCGAATAATATAAAATAAACCACTGACCTCGAGATTTATCGGAAGAAGGAAGAGCGATATCAAGCAAAAAGGAGAAATGTCTCTCAGATGGCCTCTACTACAAAGAAGAAAAAAAAGTTAATACAACTATAATCGAATGGAGATATCTAGATCGAATAATATGCTAATATATTTATAGTTTGACTTACCCATTCCTAATCCTCGACAATTCTCGTATATGGTGACTCTCGAGCAATCATGTGCCAAAAGAGAGCAAAACCTTTTGCAAAAATCAGGTTTACCTCCTTGTACACATGATTACTCTTGTCGAAGATCACCATACAAAAGAATTTTCCGTCCAAGAGGGATGCAGAAAATAGCTTACGTGAAGGTTGCTGTTGAATCAGAGCATAGATATAATCCAACAATTGGCCTTTATCCTCGTCAGTTAGGCCGGATGCACATTTTCATCGCTTGATTTCTAGCACAGTGCGAACTTAATGGCACCATTCTCGGCATCTTCTTTTGCAAAGACGCTTATATCAGGCATGTAGGTGCCCAAACAAATAACATTATGCATGTCCACCGCAGTTACCGACACCCATTGAGCATTTGAAACCTCCATCAACCCGTTAAACTATACCTGAACGTTTTCTTCCTTTAAATTTTTATTTGGTTTTCTCTTTTTGGCCAAATAATTTTTAAGACGTTCTGGCAATGGCTCTCTGGGAAGAGAGAGGATTTCATTGCTCTTAACGTTCTGAATACTTGTTCTCTTATAAACTTCAGAACGTGTTATGGAGTCTATAAAATATCAAAATTAATAAAATTTAATAAAATTTAATAAAATTTAATAAAAATAAAATAGCAACTATTAATATCCATTAATTAAAGCTAAATTAATCTTACGTGGCAACTCCTGCTGTTTCACTAACGAGGCCGCACCTATTTCCACATCGATCCTTCTTTTTTTAGAAGGACCCTCATCCGCCTCTCGGCCGTCATCTTGGACCAAGATGGTATTGGTCGCATCCTTAAGAGCATCTCGTTTCTTCCAGATAACTTCTAGGCGCTTGATATCACTCTATACAAAAAAAAAAAAAAAAAAAGATATTTCAAATAGATAGGTTAGAATTGCTAGGGTGAATGCATCAATAATCTATCCTTTATGTTACGTATTGAAGAAAGCAGGTCTTTTCAAAATGTTGTTTGATCACATCCATTATTTCATCTGTTTGACAGAGATGCACCCATGGAACAAATTCAATAAAGAGCAAGGTGCCTTAAAAGGTTATCTTGACTACTGTTATGGGCTAAATGAACGGAATACATACCAAAAAAAAAAAAGGCGAAAATTGCTACGGATTGTCGCTCGAGAAAGACAGACGTTGCGTAATGTCACTTGGCAGTTAAGGAGAGGCGGTTTCAATTCGGCAAGGTCAAGGCAACCGGTGAGTTACGTTATAGAGTTTGAAGGTAAAGTTTAAAGAGCGTTCAAGATTCAGTTGGTAATTTTCTTAGGGCTCTTTTGAAGAAATATTCAATTCTTTTTTTTTTTTTTTTTTTATTGTATAGAGCACAAATTTAACCTATTATTTATAAGAAAAGAAAAGAATAAAATCGAATCATTACACTGCCATTGAACCTAAGCCGTTCCACATTATTTAACTAATCACTACTCCTTACACACAGCCTTCGTTATTAAAGAATCTTATAGAAGGACGAAGAAGGCAAGTCAAATAAAAATTTTCACACTATTATCGTGCAGCATCGTTCTTTGCTTATTGACACATCTACATCTCATTTAGCACGGCCACACACTTAACTAATCAAGGTAATATTACCTTGACAACTATCAAGCCATATCGGGTAAGTGTCTTTTTCTCAATGAGATCTACGGGGTAATCGTTCGATGAGACTTGGCTTGCGCATACGCTTTCACGGGGATCGTAATTCAGGTTCTGGGTCCCGGGCATTGTTGTACGACGGTTCTTTGCGTAATGTTCGTGCATCGTTTCGCACTAATTTCTCTAGATCTTGGGGTCGCGGTTTTGTAAAGTCCACTTTCGTCAGAATGAATCGTCCAAGCTACCAGCTAACCATATTTCCATCAACAAAAAGCATAGAATTGATTCTTTTACACGTGATTTATAACTCAATTAGCCAACTGACCTTTGCGCTCTGAAGTTTTTTGATTTTTCTTGTGACTTCTGGCGCTACTGGATGGTTTCCATCATGTCTAGTTTACCATAAAATACGTCATGAACCTGCTTAAAGGTAAGTTCATTATCGTGAAGCATAGCGCAAGAGGAAAAACCATCCAGCGACCATAATTCAAAAGGAACTTTATTCGCGTAAGTTTTGATTAATTCTGTTAACATGATTTTTGAAAGGTGTGAGCAAGTAAAAAAAACAGTCTGGGAATAGTTTGTTCGAAGCAAAAAAGAAGATCATATGTTATTATTTTAATACCTTAGCACTGACACGCGATCTGGCCAATAATATCATGAGATCGGCGTAACAAAACATCATGCTTTAAAAAGTTTTAACATGAAAAAGATTTGTGTTTATTGGCTGATCATCAGCAGTCGTATCGATTGATACTGTGACGTCCAATGGGAGAGACTTCCTTATATCGTAACCAATTCAAATCAGGGACATCAACATTAAATAGAAGAAAGCAAGTATTTATTAAGTATATACACGACAAGCAAAACCTACAACAGAGTAACCAACGTTCTCTATTTCCTTCCAAATCCAAGAGGTACTCCCAGAGTACTATCTACAAATCCAACTTACTAACCAACTAAAAGAAGAACTAACTAAGCGACTAAAAGACTAATTAACTATCTTTCTCCCTTTTCCCTTTTATACCCAAACCCCTTTACGACCATTATTAAAGCAATTACTAATACTAAGTACTTATGACTATTAAATGACTATATAATTCATGCATTGGCATGGCGACATTTCCCTGCATTACATATCTCTTAATGACTAAATAATTTATACAATTGTACTCATTACTGCATTATTACCTTTCTTTGCGTAACAATACCCGATATTATCGTTATCGTAATATTCACAACTCTATATAGCGATAGTATTTAATAATCTTTTGTCATCTTTCACAATAATACCTTGCATACATAAAATTCAAAACTTTTTAAATACAACTATGATCAAAATCATCTTTAATAAAAACATTCGATCTCATTTATCCCAAGACGTTTATATGAAAATGCGATTTCAAATTATAATCTCGAAAAATTTTAGATATAAACCGATTTTTGCTATTTGTAGGTCCATTTTTCTATTGCAAATATAAAAAATTCGTATTTGTTTTTTTTTTCAATAGACATTAACAAATAAAAACAAAATTCCCTCGTGCTACTATAAAATCATTTCTTTACCTAGTATAAAAAATTACTTTATTGCTAAAAATAAATAGTTTATAGACATGTGATGCGCAGAATTTTATTACGATCCAATTAACCGGCACGCATTGACATAATCTCGGTCAAAAGATCTGACTTCATAATAATGAATCTAAAGTTATTTCACAAAATTAAACCAGAAATTCTGAATCTCGAAGGACCTTCACTCGCTTCCGGTAGCCGGGTGCACAACCGTTAAAATTCTAAAGATGTTCGGTTTACAAACAATAACAATCCACTTGTAAGGGCAAAAGCCCTTGTACCAAAGAAAAGAAGACGAGCAGAATTAGTTTTGGGATATAATATAGACCGATTTACTTTCGCTACTTTTTTTATTAAAAAAGAAAACTTGTATAAATTGGTGAATACAAGCAAAAAAAAAAAAATTTTAATATACGCCTATAGTATAAAAAGTAGGATCATATAAATCAGAACACAAGTACACCCTAACATCTACGGACATCTAGGATCAATAAACCCAGACCCACAAATTCATGCATTAAATCTAAGTCTTTTGATTTGTATATACATAAAGCATTTAATATGAACCTAATTCGAATCTTTGTATCATTAGAAATTAATATCGTATAGTAACATATCAAATTCTAAAAAAAAATTTTTTTTGTATCAATAATATGCCAAAAAGAAATTTATTGCAAGGACAAATTAACTCATTTAATAGTTTGTTTTAAACTAAACCGTGCTTATCTGAGACGATCTAATAGAAATACCTTCAACAAAAGCATTCGTGGCTGCTTTGCTTTAATCACTGATTATTTACTGTATATACTGTATATAGCTATATACTTTGTACGTTCCAATAGAAAACGAATAAATTTGTCTTTTAAGCGTAGTTCTCCGGGAGTTGATCTTTTCTTGAATCTTCAGCACAGTGAACGTTATTACTTTCGTTGAAGCTATTGTAACGGTTGGTTGGGAGAGCGACGCACAATGAATGCGCAGTGTAGCTCCAACCGCTACTAGATGTTATGTGGATTGAATAATAAAAGGCTTCCATCGGGCATGGTAATTCTATTAGGGCGACTTAATGATGGTGTGTAATTAAGGAGAGAATATCATTATGTCCAGGTTACTT